TTGATTACTGTAGCTTTGTAGTATAATCTGAAGTCAGGGAATGTGATATGTGTAGCTTTGTTTTTTTGGAAGCTTTATTTGGCAATTTTGGGTCTTTTCTAATCCCATATAAATTTGGGGGTTAGGTGTTCTAGTTCTGTGAAAAATATCCTGGGTATTTTGATAGAGATTGCATTGAATCTGTAGATTGTCTTGGGTAGTATGATCATTTTAACAATATTAACTTTACCAATCCATGAACGTGGTATATCTTTCCATCTCTTTGTGTCATCTTCAATTTCTTTCATCAGTGTCTTATAGTTTTCAGAGTACAGGTCTTTTACCTCATTAGTTGTATTTATTCCTAGGTATTCTAGTCTTTCTGATGCAACTGTAAATGAGATTGTTTCCTTAATTTCTTTTTCTGATAGTTCATTGTTAGTGTATAGAAATGCAACAGCTTTCTGTGTATTAATTTTGTATCCTGAAATTTTACTGAATTCATTGATGAGATCTAGTAGTTTTTTGGTGGTGTCTTTAGGGTTTTCTATGTATAGTATCAGGTCATGTGCAAACAGTGACAGTTTTACTTCTTCCTTTCCAATTTGGATGATTTTATTTCTTTTTCTGTCTGATTGCTGTGGGTAGGACTTCCGATACTACTTGAATAAAAGTCGTGATAGAAGACATCCTTGGCTTTTTCCTTATCTTAGAGGAAATGTTTTCAGCTTTTCACTGTTGAGTATGATTTGAGCTGTGGGCCTATTATATATGGCCTTCATTATGTTGAGGTATGTTCCCTCTATTCCCACTTTGTGGAGAGTTTTTGTCATAAATGGATGTTGAATTTGAAAAATTTGTTCTGCATCTATTGAGATGATTATATGATTTCTATTCTTCAATTTGTTAATGTGGTGTGTCACACTGATTTGCAAATACTGAACCATCCTTGCATCTGCGATAAATCCCACGTGATCGTGATGTATGATCCTTTTGATCTATGGTTGGATTCAGTTTGCTAATATTTTGTTGAGGATTTTTAAATCAGTGATACTGGCCTGTAGTTTTCTTTCTTTTTTGTGATATCTTTATCTGGTGATGCTAGCTTTATAGAATGAGTTTGGAAGCATTCCTTCCTCTACAAGTTTTTGGAATAGTTTGAGAAGGATAGATGTTAACTCTTCTCTAAATGCTTGGTAGCATTCACCTGTGAAGACATTTGGTTCTGGACTTGAGTTTTGTTTTGTTTTGTTATTGATTCAATTTCATTACTGGTAATTGGTCTGTTCATATTTTCTATTTCTTCCAGGTTCAGTCTTGGGAGATTATACATTTCTTGGAATTTGTCCATTTCTTCTAGGTTTTCCATTTTATTGGCATATAGTTGTTCATAGTAATCTTTTATGATCCTATTTATATTTCTGTGGTGTTGGTTGTAACTTCTCCTTTTCCATTTCTGATTTTATTGATTTAGAACCTCCATCTTTTTGGGGTTTTTTTAATGAGTCTGGCCAAAGGTTTATCAATTTTGTTTATCTTTTCAAAGAACCAGCTCTTATTTCATTGATATTTTCTATTATTTTTTAGTGTCTATTTCATTTATTTCTCCTCTGATCTTTATGATTTATTTCCTTCTACTAATTTTGGATTTTGATCATTTTTCTTTTTCCAGTTCCTTTAGTATAAGGTTAGGTTGTTTATTTAAGCTTTTTCTTGTTTCTTGAGGTAGGCTTATATCACTATAAACTTCCCCATTAGAACTGCTTTTGCTGCATCCCATAGATTTTTGGATTGTTGTGTTTTCATTTTCATTTGTCACCATGTATCTTTTCATTTCTTCTTTGATTTCTTCAGTGATTCATTGGTTGTTTAGTAGCATATTGTTTCGCTTCTACGTGTTTGTGGTTTCTTTGTATTTTTTTCTTGTAGTTAATTTCTAGTCTCAGACTATTGTCATCAGAAAAGATGCTTGATATAATTTCATTCTTAAAATTATTGTTTTGTGGCCTAGAATGTGATTTATCCTGGAGAATGTTCTATGTGCACTTGAAAATAATGTGTATTCCTTTTTTTGGTGAATGGAATGTCCTGTATATATCTATTTAATTCATCTGATCTGATGTGTCATTTAAGGCCAGTGTTTCCTCATTGTTTTCTGTCTGGGTGATCTGCCCATGGATGTAAGTGGGTGTTAATGTCCCCTACTATTATTGTGTTAGTTACAATTCTCCCTTTATGCCTGTTAATATTTGTTTTATGTATATAGGTGTTCTTATGTTGAGTTCATATATAATTACAATTGTTATATCTTCTTCTTTGATTGATCCCTTGATCATTAAGTAATGTCCTTCTTTGTCTCTTGTTTATAGCTTTAAAGTCTATTTTGTCTGAAAAATTATTGCCACCCCAGCTTTCCTTTTTGTTAATAGAAGTATAGTTGATTTACAATATTATATTAGTTTCAGGTGTACAACATAGTGATTCAGTGTTTTTACAGATTATATTCTCCTTAAAGTTATTACAAAACAAGAGCTATATTTCCCTGTACTGTACACTATATTCTTGTTGCTTTTCTCTTTTACCCATAGTAGTTTGTATCTCTTAATCCCATACCCTTGTCTTGCCCACTGGCAGGCCGAGCCAGGTCTTGGGGTCTCTAAGTGCAGAGCCCAGGCGTCCCAGAGTGGGCCAATTCCTGGCACAGCTGGCTTTAGGGTCTGGGGTGTCCTGAAGCTTGTTTCAGCCTGCTGGTGAGTGGGGTCAGATCCTGGGGCAGCTGGCTGAGTGGCCCATGGTGTCTCACAGCTGGTGTTGGCCTGCTGGTGAGTGGGGTTGGATCCCAGGGGGTCCTGTAATTGGTGTCTGCCCACTGGTGGGTGAGGCTGGTCCTGAAGCTAGAGCAGGCTGGCTGGTAGGCGGGGCCAGGCCCCAGGTCTCTGGCTGCAGGGCCCTGGGAGTCCCAGGTCTAGTGCCTGCACACTGGTGTGTGGAGCTGGATCTTCGGCCCTCTGGTGGGCAGGGATGTATCCAGGGGCAGCTGTGGGCTCAGGGGGTCTTAAGGCAGCCTGCTTGCTGGTGAGCTTTGCCCCCACCCAGTTAGTTGCTTGTCCTGAGATGTCCCAGCACTAGCACCTACAGGCTATTGAGCCAGTGTGGGTCTGGGTCCTGGGGCTAATAAGCTAGGAGGAGGATTCCACAGTTGTGCTTCCCAGTGCCAGTGTCATCATGGTAGAATGAGCTCCCCCAAATGGCTGCTGCTGATGTCTGTGTCCCCAGGGTGAGCTCCACTTGCCTCCTTCTCCTCTGAGAGACTCTTCAAGATCAGCAGGTGGGTCTGACCCAGGGTCCTTTCAAGTTACTGCTTCTGTCCTGGGTCCCAGATCATGTGAGATTTTGTGTGCACCCTTTAAGAGTGGAGTCTCTATTTCCCACAGCCCCCATGGCTCTCCCAACGTGATCCCCACTGTCCTTCAAAGCCAGATGTTCTGGGGCTCGTCCTCCCAGTGCAGGACCACCAGGCTGGGGAGCCCAACGTGGGGCTCAGACCCCTTGCTCCTTGGGAAGAATCTCTGTAATTGTAATTATTCTCCCATTTGTGGGTCACTTACCCAGGGGTATGGGTCTGGGTCTCCACCCCTTCTATCTGTCTTGTTGTGGTTCCTTCTTTATATCTTTAGTTGTAGAAGACCCCTTCTGCTAGTCTTCATTGGTAGGTGCTCTATAAATAGTTGTAAATTTGTTGTACCCAGGAGAGGAGGTGAGCTCATGTTCCTACTCCACCGTCTTGGCCCAGGAGGTGCTTGCTTTTCTTTTTTGCAAATAAAAATAATAATGTTTATTGCCTTAAAAAATGAAGAGCAAAGGAATATATAAAGAAGGGAATAAAATCACCCTAGTGGCACAAAGCAGAGAGAGATAACTACTACTACTACTATTACTACTATACACACACAGAGTGATGTGTGATCCACTTGGAACTTGAATGAGTTCTTTCTACACATAATATATCTTTTATTATTAAACACTTTACATATTATACAAATAATACATGTTTATTGTTTAAAAATTGAAAAACAGTGAAGAGTATACTGAAGGAAATAAAATCGTCCATAGTCACAGCATGCATAGATTATTTATTTTTATTTTTCTGATTTGTTTTCTTCCAATAGTGTTTCTAAGACCCATAGGTAGATTTATACACAGGTAGGTAGGTGGATGTTCAGGTAGACAAGCATTTCTTTTTAAGTTTTTGAATTATACTATAGCTATGCAGGGTGAACCAATAAAAGTATATACCTTTCAGATAGTAATCAGACAAAAATATATGGAGCTATGAGATGTGTCATCAACAATGGTATTAGTGGCCATTTTGAACATTTGTAACTTTACAGTAATAAAAATAGATATTGATTAACATTTATTCACTAAATTTGGTAATCAAATACTTGTATCTTACTTTTTTATATTGTGAGAGCTTTCCTATAGTATAAAATAAAATTCATAAACATGATTTTAATGGTTGCAGCTTATTCCACTGTATCTATATACCACAATTTATCTACCCAGTTCCCTATTATTGGATATTTAGTATGTTTCTCTTTTTACTACTATAAATAGCATTGCACTCTACATCTTACTGCCTAAAACTTTTCATCTCTGATTATTTCCTTAGGATACATTCTTAGCAGCAAAATCACTGGGCCCAATGACATGAGCAGATTTAAGACACTTGATATATATTGCCAAATTGCCCTCCAGGAAATTCTTTGTTGCTTATAGAAAAAAATAAATAATCCTTGTTCTATTTATACTCTTTAATCATTTTTATGTGGCTTTTTTTGAACCTTTAAACTTCTCTTCGGTTTTAGGACTCAGAATTGTTTTTTAATAAATGTTTCTTTCAAGAGATTAGTGAAGTAATCATGTTGTTATAAATAGCCAAACAATGCAACTCCCTTGTTTTTTCTTAGTAAAGGTTTTCAGTTGTAACATTTTTCATTGTATAAATTGTTTCTTTCTAGGGTGCACAAGGAGAAAAAGGAGATCCAGGTTTGGCCGGAGTTAATGGGCAAGATGTAAGCCTAACTTTTTTTCTAACATTGTGTTAACATTTTGCCGCTGAAATATGCTAACTATCTAATGCTATTGAGACTTGACTATGCTTGGAAGAACTAGCCACAGTCATTGCAAAGTCAAGAGTCAAGGTCGTTTTTTACGTGGCTCAGTGGAGCCCCAGTATTTTTTTTTTTTAAAGGCCACTGACTTTATTGATTAAAAACACTTTACAGAGACAGTGACTGTCCTGCCCAAAAGAGGGCCAAAGAGCATGAAACAGACCGGGTAGGGGGAGCTATGTGGTCCTCGCCCAGCTTCTGGTGCTAAAGAAAAATGAGGACCTTCTTAGGAGAGGCTGAAGGACACATGTGGCACCAGTATTTTCAGTTTCGTAATGACCAGGTAGTTCCCTGGCTTTAGATGCCTTGTACGTGTACTCATCCTTCACAGCCCTTTCTTCCTTGCTATTTCTGGCTTGCATTTCTTCTATCTTCCTTTCTCTTTCTTTTTTCTTCTTGCCTGTATTCTGCTGTGACCTGTGTTCTTACCCAGGTTACTTTTCATCTTACCCCCAATCTCCATCTACTGAGGGGTCTGCAGAGGTCGATTTCAGTGATGAGAAGAAAGGGCAGAAGGGAGGGAACCATGTGTATCTGTGTCACTCCCCCTCCATTGCACCTACTCCGCAACCTCAGGGCTCCTGTCCCTGTCCCAGGGAACATCCTTGAGTCCTCTCCTGCACCCTGCCCCCGAGCCCTGCCCAGGACAGCTGTCCCCCAGGAGCTTCACTTGGGTTCTTATGATGGAGTTTGGAGGATAGACCAAATCTGGGCTTTCCTCTAAGTGTAGATTACTCCCCCTTCAGGACATCAGATGTACCATTTACTGTAGATATACTAACTTTACTAAGGCAGGTATCCACAATGAAAATTTTTTTTCCTCACAGTTTCCCTTATTCATCTGCATAAAAGTGTTTCAGAAAGGTTCTGAAGGACCATACTACTTACTTTCTGGATAAAAGAATAAGGAAGCTAGATCCAGTTCCCTAATGCCCTAGAGGTGCTATGAAATCCGCCTCGTCTGCAGTAGATGGTTGCACACAGTGGGAAGGGAGGCTGAACATTGTAGTCCCTGGGGCCTGTGGACAAAGTAAGAGGGATTCTGGGAGCGGGAGAGAAACACCCCAGGAGTTACTCCGGCTTGAGGTTCTAGCCCTCCACAGCTTTACTCTCTTACTTCCTAAGAAGCCCCATTCACATCTTTAATATGATATCCTTCTTGTTTCTGTCTTCTTCGAAGGGATTTTTCTCCACCAGAGACTGGGAGCTACACCAATGGTTGGAGCTAAGGGAGTCTCTGCATTTTCTCTGCCTCCTTACAGTACATCAGGATGCTGAATGTCCTGACCATTGGCCCATACACTTAATAGAGCATCTAATTTCCCCCCAGCCCCCAGCCCTGTCACGGGAGATCCTGGTGTCATGGGAAGAGATCTCCAGTGAGAAGTTAGAGCCCAGTGTATGTCCCCGTTCTGTCACTAGTTGAGGAAATCACTTCTCAGAGTCTGTAAGGTGATAGCCTTAGAATAGATTCTAAGGTCCCCATTACTGCAATGCCCTATCATTTAATACAAAGAGATTACTAAGATTAATTAGGATTACGGTCTTGAAAAGCACGATGAAACTTGAACCATTCATTCAGGTGTTTGGACATCCAGATGCATGTTAGGCAATGTAGGGAAAACACGATGGGAATACAGCTGGAGCCCAGGCATGGGCAGTGCTCTGTGTGAGCACTTTCCTCCTCTGGCTGGGTGCGTGGGGTGATGTGGGTCGTGTTGTGTTTAAAGGAAGATTCCTTTCACAGCGTGTTCTACAAAATGCATAGAATTGAGGCCTTTGCCTGTGCTTTTGTTCTTTCTATCATATTCTTTATGAGAGCAAAGACCATTTCTTGGAGTCGCTAGTACTTAGTAGATGTTTGGAGTAAGTTCTCAATAATTAGTTGCTAAATTTTCATGTTAAAACTTGAGAGATTATTATAATAGTCTAAAATATAAGTAATTAGAACCTAAACTAGGAAAACAGAGGTGAAAGGGAGTGCACAGTGATATTGCAGAGGTAAAATACATGCAACTTGGTGCTTGATTGCAGTGAAAACTCAAAAATAGCCCAAGGTTTTGACCATTCATTACAGGAAGGATATTATCTCATGATAAATGTCAGAGTGTTGAGAGAGATTAACTACAGCTTTGCAAAAGATAACCAAGCTGCATGTATGCCGCTCCCCGAGATACAGGAGCAAAACAGGGATTTTTATTTTATTTTATTGGCCGCGCCTCGCAGCATGCGGGATCCTAGTTCCCCAACCAGGGATCGAACCCGTGCTCCCTGCAGTGGAACCATGGATTCTCAACCACTGGACCACCAGGGAATTCCCAAAACAAGGATTTTTAGAAGTTAATTAAGATAGTGTTAGAATTGAAATAGAGAAAGGATTTATCCAAACACTCGAGTAAAACTGGAAGGAGATTTGAGGGGTTGGAGCCTGAAATATAGTCACATTAACTTAGAGATTTGGAAATTTTCTTATGTTGTCTGAAAGTAAGGTGATTTGGCTTTTTAGAATTAATCAGTTTGTACACACATAGATATGAGTGCCTTCTACTTGCCCAGATCTAAAGACCGTCTTGCTGAGAGAGCCCCCAGCCTAGTGGGTAGTGTGACCTTTCCTCTTTGACAAGGGTCTGGGAAGAGTCCTTCACACACACACACACACACACACACACACACACACATGGGTGTGTTATTCCTTTAGCACCATCACTGCCTCATATAGCTCATTAGGTACATTATAAAGCGTGACAAAGCACATTAAGTTTTCTCACTTGGTTACTTAATTAATATTCCTTCCCTTAATTTTGCCAAAGGTATTCAGAGGTCATGACTAAGGAGAAGTAAGAAAAAGTAATGAAAGTTCTCTTTTTACCCCTCTACTCTTACTAGGGGTAAAGAATCACGTGCTCTGTTATTTATTCCATCGGTGGTGGTTTTAATTTTGTGCCATAGTCCAAAAAACTGTTTTCATGAGGAATTTGAAATTCAGTCTTTACCCCAACTTTATGGGGTAGAAGGTGCAAGGGGTGATAGCATCCCTATTTTTAGAGTCAAGAAATAAGAGCTTATGAAATTAAGAAATTTTCTTTTAGAAAATGGTAAAATCAGCCTTTATCCCTTGTTTGACCGAAAAGTTTCTTAATTTTCCCACTAAGTCATGCCACATTTCTCATTGTCTATTTTTCAATGGTAAAATAAACTGACTCCACGAACCAAAATCATTCAGCATTTATGACAGTTTGCTCTGCCTTTCAATAAGAGCAGGTACACATTCTTAGGGAATGAAGGGCATTATAATAGCTGTCTCAGTTTGCATTGAAGTCAAGCCATGATGGACATTTTAACTTCAGGAACATTCTGTGGGAATGCAGGGTGAATAACCTCAGTGGGCCAGGTCATGGCAGCTACTTTCCAAGTCAGAGAAAATTGGAAGAATTTAATATTCCTGTGAAACAGATTCAAAGCCTTTTTATAGTCTTTATTCTTATATATTAAATATATCTTGATGTAAATGTATCTTTTAATAATTTCATCTGTGCCATCTTTCCCGCAAAGTGGACAAGCTCACTTCAGACAATGTAAACCTCCTTTAAAGGGAAGTATGCCAGTTCAGCTTTCTTAATGGGACACTCTTGGCATTTTGGTCATGATGGTTCTTTGCCACTATCTTGCAAGAGCAGAATGCATAGTGTCCTTGAGGCTCACCAACTAATCACCAGTAGCAGCTCTTAGTCATTAGGACAAAAAAAAAAAAAAAATGTTCTGATATCTTTCTGAATGCATCCGTGTGTGTGTGTGTGTGTGTGTGTGTGTGTGTGTGTTTAAACTTTGATTGATCTTCAAGGTACTGGGGTATTGGACTAAAGGTATTGGACTATACATGCTCATATTTCCCTTATAGTTTAAATAATGCATACCAAATATATATTGAAATTGTCAAAACTTTGAGTTACTAGAATTTAGCCTTCAAAATATAAGACCTCAGCTTCACATATTCTAGTTTATAATTAAGTGATTTTGACTGTGACCTACTATGAGATGCATTCAACAATGCATCTTAAAACAGACTTGAGGGGGAATCTTAGAAAGTTGTTAACATGACCTTTGAAGCCAGACTACCTGGGCTCAAATCCCAGCTCTACCACTGCCCAGCTGGCGTACTAATTAGCACATTATTTATTGTCTCCGTGCCTGTTTCTTCATCTGCTCAATAGGATGATAATATTAATAGCACTAACTCATAGTCTTTTTTTTTATGATTAAAGGGGTCATCATACATAAAGCATTTAGGTCAGTGCCTTGCATACAGTAAGAGCTATATAAACATTTGCTATTATTAGAAACTTAAATAAAGCACATTTTCTCTAATATAGAGATAGGTAGATAGATCTTTTAATTTATTTTTTGTGGGGTTATGTAATCTTGGAAAAGTAGATTTCAATTATTTAGTTTAGTCTTCTCCTTTGCATCTTTGTTATTGTCTTTCAAACAACTCTTATCAGAATTACAGCATCTGATGTTTCTAAAATGGTCACGTTAATCTCCTTACACCAGTGCAATCTGTATACTGAATACAAAAATACTGGAATCACAAAGCTGCGATATCGGCTGGCGATAGCTGGTGCCATTCCTAGGGAACAAGATGCAGTGGGTGGAAGATGGGGAAAACAATGAATAGATGGGTTAAAAATTTTAACAAATAACATTACCTTGTATCAAATGATGTTTAAAGATGCTACATACCACCAGTAAGGAGGTCCTCCAATAAAAATTAATTCATGGTCTACCTGCTTTTATAATTTTAGTTGTGATAATGTCCTTCAGCTTTCATCTTGCATTTTAAAAATTTTTTTATTGAGATATAGTTGATTTACAATGTTGTGTTAGTTTTAGGTGTACAGCAA